TAATTAGAAGCTCAATATACTGGGTTTAACAGAAAAATTGCTTAAATTTTGTAAAAGCAAAATTTGTTCGATTAAGCTTTTGTATCTATGTTTTATCTTAGAAATGATTAAAGATATTTTAGTGGAATTCTCCGAGGTTTTTATAACACTACTGGATTCTACTGTGAGCAATAAAAATGTATAATTACTTGCCAAGCTTAACAGAAGAATCGTGATGAAAGCGATCATAAACGAAAATGATATGTTCATTATTAATTAATCTTAGCTAAGGATCGGAAGGTCATGAAGTATGGAAATAATGTTCACATATATGTATATATTATTCCAGGATCATTTTACAACTTACTTATGATGATCTGCGCCCTCTCACCTTCTAACCTTCTGTCCCCGTGTAACAAGATGCTTCACATGTTTCACGTACGATTCCATTTTCAAGTCTTTTTTCACTGCTCTTTGGACTGTCATAGAGGAAACCTCTCTCTCATGTGTCAGACGTCTTATGAATTGAGTTGGATCTTTTCTAATTGATCGCTTTAGATCTAAGTTGAAATAATAATCCTTCTTTCTATTATTACCTAGTGATTCAGTTCTCCTCTCTACTGTTCCCTCTTTTTAAAACTTATTCACTGTTTCCTTGATGGTTCTTCAATGGACTTTGAAGATGGAAGCCAAGGTTTCTGTTTTGTATTTAGAGATTGTTTATAAGTTACAAAGAAAAATCTGCAATGTTATTGATCTTGATCTGGCCTCTCGGCTTCAATAACTTTCTCATAGCCGTAATGTAACTTCCCTGTTCCTTTTATATGAATATTTTCATGCTCATTTTTCTCATGAGCTTTCCTCTTTCGTGCGTAGACTTTATGAATTTAAGCGCAATACTAGTTTGGCGCTAAGGTGGCATCATCTGACAATTGAAATTGCTAGATATAACCGTAAGTTCTTTCTTAACAGTTTCTTCTCTCGAACTTCCCGCTTGTAGAACTGTTTTCTGGCTTCTTGTTTTCCAGTCAAATTTGATCTGTAGTCAAATTTGATCTGTGGATCAAATTTGACTGGAATTTAAATTTAAATTCAATATCATTCGTTATCCTGTATCTTTTTAATTCCTGTTCTTTGGTTGTCCTCTCTCCTTAATAATGTTTTCTTTTTCTGGTATTATTTCCCACTCCATAACCTCTTGCATCTTAGTGGCTTTATTACCTTGCTTGTGGTGAAATGATGAAAATATCTAAATTTGACTCCTAAATCGTCTTGGCTTCTTCCTCCTTCAAATATATATTTTTTAAAAAATACACTAGACACCCAACCATGATTTTTACACAAAACTCCCGATCATGAGCAGAGATGCTCAGTCATGTCAGCCTCTAGATTATATGCCCAACTATTCAGGCAACTGGCAACCAAATCCGTAGTACAGTAGGGATATTGACTGTGGTACATCATTCTAAAAAATATACATATTGATACCCAGTCAGTTACGATCAGATGCTATGAGCGACATGCCTTATGTTGCACCAGAGTATTGTTGGTGATTTTGTTTGTTTTTTGTTTGTTTTTTAATTTTTTAACCCAACAAAGACGATAATGCCACTAAGACAAAAAGAGTTACTGAGATTGAAAGAGAATGAGAATAATTTAGTAAGGAAAAGCGACCATAAAAGAACAGATTTCAGGAAGACATAAAATGGCGATTGACGTTGCATTTAAATGTTTGGTGACGGTGGGTCGCAGGAAAGCGAGAAATTGGAAGAGAGTTTCACAGGTAAGAAGTCCGAAAAAAAACGGACTATTAGCATAAAACTTACGATTACATCTAGCTATTTCAACGATGAGACCTAGTTGCTAATCTAGGAGTATGCTTAAATTCACACAGTCGAGGTAACAAGGCGAAAATTACATTATCACAATTACCATGGAATTGTTTATAGAAAAGGCAGAGGGAAGTCACGTTACAATTTGTGGGAAAATGACTGAAGTCGTGATACCATGTCAGGACCTATAATATCACAAATGTTTCTTTGCATTTTGTCGTGAAAATCATGATATATAGCCGGAGCACTCTACCTTATTTTATTAGTATTATCTATATTGTTATTATTGATATGGTTGCTGTTGTCACTATTATTTTTTTATACGTGCATAATTCTAAAATGCAGTGGTATGATAATTCCCATTTTCTGTTTTACTCAGTGAAACTCTATGTTCAAATAAATAAGGAATAATTTACTTACCCAACGTGACGTTGCGCTATTTATGTATATGGCCGAATGCGAATTCATATGATTTATTTCAGTTTTTACTATTACAAAAACTTTAGTTATTGTAGTTTTTTTTCTGACTGATACATATTTGCGAGAGGCCGGGCTGTTGTGGAGGAGAGTGCTTTCTTTTATCTAAACGCAATATCTAGACAGATTACCAATCAAGGCTGGTCTTTCTATCTCGCAGTTATTTGAAGACGTGTGACTACCTACTAGAACAATCATCGGCAGCTACCGAACAGTTTAGCCTACCAATTCCTCTCTCAAATGGCTTGGGTCAACGCGTGCTACCGTTTTCAGGCACTTTCCAACGGTACCGCACGCTGGCATTGTCTCACTTGCCAGTCGACCGATAATCGATGGCAATGAGATTCGAAACCGGTTCTGATGGTCGGAACACTGTTGCTCTAACCACTGAACCAAGATGACCGAAATGTTGTTTAAAAACCCAAATTATTTCTAACTATTTATTCTATCTAAACCAATTTTTACGCAAAGCTGTATTTTGTGAATGATTTTTATGAAATTATTCAAAGGAACACATGTCTGCAATTTTCATTAAGCGTTAATGAAGAGATAAATGTCAGAGAATTACTTCCTTCTTTCAGTAATCTATCATTTAAATATAACGAAAATTAGCTTGATATGATGCAAGGCCACATACCGACTTCCCCTCTCTTAGCGCAAATGAGGAAGGTGCTGCCACGGGTTCGGAATCCCATCAAAAATGAGTAGAACAGTTTACTCTGGTTACGGCCAAAAGCAAACACTTTCACCAGTAAGATGTGATTAATGGCCTGCTAAACTAACTCGCTAACATTACACCCGGTAGGACGTCCAACATAGTCTGGTTTACATGTAGCTTAAGGCCAAATGTGAATAAATGGATGAGGATTACTTTTGTAAAGTAATTGGCCATGGTTAAGTGTAATTGGTAGGAATGCCTAACAAACGTAATTGACAAATTTGCCATAAACAGTAACAAAAAAAAAGATAAACAGAGCAAAATAATTCTAAGCAAATAATATATATGCAAGTCAAAATTAGACAAAGCAAAAGTAATAAGGCAAAAATTCGCAAAGTAAGAATGGTGTTAACATATAAAAGAGATACAAACAAGTGATTGTAGTATTTTGACTTCAAAACAAGACAGTCCACAAATATGGCGGATGAGACAGAGAAGTGGTTTATCATAAGGTCTACAATGAAATTCCAACATGTACGATTTGTCTATAAATGCGGGAAGGCTGATGTTTTTGCTTTCAAAATAACGACCTATCAATTTTTAATATTATTCTTCGAAAACCCGATTTTTATCTGGGTTTGAAAACCGAACTCTAAAACCAACAGAAAACAAGCAGTACTTGTCCCCACCAAACGATTATTGATATCAACTAAATTAAATTTATTTTGTTATATTTACAAAGGCTGTCTGCTCGTAATGCCTGCTTGCTAGGGCGGCTATTTAATTCCTTTTGCAAACTCCAGCTCAAAACCATTTGTGTTTGTTCCACACCCACAGAGCCAAACACTGGGTTATGTTGCAACTGTGCTGAGCGGAGCTTAATTACAATTTCTGTTAGAGAGAGCAAATCATTTGGCGGGATCAACAGTTTAAACAAGGCCTCGAACCTTCGGTCACGTTGAGTTTTGAATTTCTGTTAACACAACCATCGACAAACAATTCCGTCTACCCAACATCAATCACACGGCATGCTTCAAACCGTAGTATGGCTATCACGCAATTTCCAAAGATGTCGCGCGTTAGGATCGCCTCCTCATATTGATAGCTTCAAGAAGTAGCCTTCCTGGTCGATTATGGTGTGATTCTAACCGAGTTCGTATGGTTAGATACTTTGCTGCCGGATGTAGTTTATCGTCATACCTAGCAAGATAGGCTTATATTGGACAATCTCCCAACCGATGAGCATAGTACTAGAAGAAAATAGCAACAGAAAGATGACATTCTTTGAAAACGTGGCTTAGAAAACGTAACGCTTACAGACAGTGCCGGATTGCTAACTTTTCGGGCCGCGAGGCTAATTAAGTTATCCCCCCCCACACACACACACACACTCGAATTATGGTGAGATTCGAACCGGGATTTCATGGTCTGAAAGAGTGTGTTCTAGCGATTCGGTTACGGGCCTACATAATATTGTATTAAAAGTACCTTTAGGTTTTGTGTGAATAGATAGCATTATCGGATCAAGAAATGTATGATCTAAAAATATTATTTAAGAAATAACTTTTACTGTATATTTAAAACCAAATAAGTACATATTTCAGCACAACCGCATTAAAAAAAATCGATTTTAATAATCAGCATTATAGCAATAAAACAAACTAAATGAGTTTGTCATATTGATATCATTTCAGTTTATGAAAGTATTTAGAAGTTATAACATGTAAACAATTAAAATCACTGCTTTATAAAGATTTCTAAGATTTAAACTTTCTAAACTAAAATCAAACATGTTATCTACTTGAACCACAATGGCACAAACTAAAACATTCGATGCCTTACTTTGCTTCCTTCAAAGTCAAATAAATATGAATTTGTCATATTGATATCATTTCAGTTTATGAAACTATTTAGAAATTATAATATCTAGAAAATTAAAATCATTGATTTATAAAAGCTTGCGTGTCCATAGATTGCAGCCTGAAGGATAATCAGGCCCTGCCCACATTGAGGGCAAGACAGATAGGGGAAGGCAATGAACCACTTACCTGACGATGTTGTACTCTCTCTCTCTCTCTCTCTCTCTCTCTCTCTCTCTCTCTCTCTCTGTGTGTGTGTGTGTGTGTTTTTCATTGATTTTCCCACTGTCTCTCACTCTATTTCCCTCTCTTACTAATTTATTCTCTCTCTTTACCTCGATCTGCTGCTCAGATTCACCCCCAGAAAGCTCAGCAGACCGTATTTCTTGTTTATTTCAACTTTGTTTATTTTTTATTTATCAATCCCAACTATTTTACTCCTCTGTACAGCCTCGACACCCACATCTCCAAAATATCTTCTTCTTCTTCTTCTTCTTCTTCTTCTTCTTCTTCTTCTTCTTCTTCTTCTCTCCCTTCACTTCCTCCACCCCTTCTTACCCACTTTTTTCCTCCTCCTACTCATTCTTCTCCTCCTCCTGGATTCTCTCTAAATATTGTCTACTTCCTTATTTCCTTCTTATTTCGCTCTCCATTTCTCTCTCTTCATCTCATTCTCATTTTCCCCCAAATAGATTTTTTTTATTTGTTTCCTTCTCCCTCTATTTTCATTTAGCCTTCTTTCCTTTACCTCTTTCCTCTTTCTTCTTTTGTTTATTAACCGCCAAACAATGTGTTCCAACGACTATCGACCAACCTTCCTCCCTCGAGAGTCATTTTCCACCCTCGCTAAATATCAACACATTTTGTTATCAATCATACAATTTATTGCTTGGGAACTAAACGAAGCTCGCTTAACTATATAATTGCATCCTAATTGAACCTTGAGAAATTTCATGGTGTTTCTGTTCTTTATTGTGTTTGTATTGATGACTGAGGGATAAAACATCAAACCAATCGAGTATAACGCAAGATTACCAGACTGAAGTAAATTCACGTAGCAGTGCGGTCACATTGAGGCAACAAGCCCAGTCGTTCTGTACATACACGTGAGAATATTAAATGGCTTTAAAAACAATCACACACACACACACACATATATATGCGTGTGTGTGCATGTATTTGTGTATATATATATAGAGAGATAGATAGATAGATCACAAAGTAAAATGCATTATATTTAAAACAATTCCAGAACAATTTACTCACTTTTCTGTGTATTAGAAAATAAATTACATCGCTTAGTATCTTCCATAATTTATTTTTGACCTGAGGTATTATAATAACTATCTCACTTGTTAGCTATTGTGGGGGCTTCCTTATTTTGCTCGATTCATCAGTAGCATCAAGGGAAGTAATCACCAGGGTAAAACCGGAAGTCCCAGCAATGATAAAAACGCTTTCTCTTCCATTCTTTCTTTTCAGCAGCCGCAACATACAAAGGCCAGCAGGAAGGGCCACTCGCAAGTCTTACTGCAGAAGACACGTGTTCTGTACTGGCAGCTTGACTTCAGATTTCTCGTTCCTCATGTTAACAAGCGGAGGAATCTATCTCTACGAAATATCTACTCGAGGGAAGAACTTTTTTAACTCGGAAACCTAAATCTTTTTCCCGCAAAATATCACTATTTTGCACTCTCTTCCAGCCACATATAATAGCTGATGAATACTTATATCGAGTCTTGGGTTTTGTTCATTCTACTCCCACTGCTGAGCACACACACACACAACGAGGAAACATACCATATGAGCCTTCTTAAATTTAAAACATTTGAAAAACTGACAACCTTTTTAATTTTGTTTATGAATACTTGTTGTAAAATAAAATCCTTACATTTGCCTTGATAAAGTTCATCAGAGGAAGGAACGCGCCGGTTCAGATAATTTTTCCTTTTGTCTTTATATATATATATATATATATATATATATATATATATATTCTGGCATCTCGTCTACAGTCGCTCTCTCACAGACGCGCCGTCGCCTCTTTCTGTCTTTTTTACAAATACTTTCATGGCAATTGCTTCCGCTGGTTCCCTGACTTCATGAGTTCAAGCGCCCTACGAGGCTGGCATCCCGCTCTGACCCTTTCACTGTCGAAACTTCTAAATGTAGCCGTCTCTTGTACACCAATAGCTTCATGTCTCGCACCTCTCGCCTGTGGAACTCCCTTCCCTATTCCAGTTTCCCTGAGAGCTATAATCTCCAGCTGTTCAAGTGTAATGTCAATCGACATCTCCAGTTGCCTTGATCTATCCACTACCCTTCTCCTCATCCTTTCTTCTATCACTCCTATCTGATCTTGCTCCAAATTTTTATATGTGAAAATATATAGAAGGAAGTGGTTAGGTAATGTAGCGATTTGGAATCATATTTTTAAATAAATAATTATATATATATATATATATATATACTGTATGACAAAATAGGAAAAGTTTACTTCTAACGTGTTTCGTCCCTCAAGAATTCATCGGACGAAACATCTTATGTTGATAGGACTGCGCATGCGTAAGACAGAACGCTGGTGGAAATTTTAGAATTGTATTTTTTTTTTATCTAGTCAAATTCATTTAGAATATTTTTCTTTTTCTTTCACTTTTGTAAGACCTTAAATGAATTCGGCTACAGGAAATCGAGCAAAAGACATAATTAGCGATCCAGAGACATAGGAACAAGAAATAGTCAATATAAGCAGAAACCTACAACTACCCTGAGTACAAAGCAGCAGCTCCGACAAACAGCGATAGAAGGGTACAAGAAGATAACAATACTCAGAAAACAGCTTCGGTCTGTTTATCCTATGTGAAGTGATTATCGGAAAAAAATACAAAAGATCTGTGGTCCATATAACATCAGGCTGACCTTCAAAGGTGGCTCAAGACTTCGCAGGCAATTCTTCCAAGTGAAACCACTCATAGAGGAGAACATGACGAAGGACTATGTGTACAACATCCTGTTCAGCTGTGGAAAGAAATATAAGAAGGTAAAGCCGTAACACGAGAGGGAATAGAAAAATCAGACGTAGCTGACCACATATGAAGAGAAAAGGGAGATGACCGCCCCCCCCCCCTGTGGAATGAGTCTGAAATAAAAGACAGAGAACATCACTGGAAAATACGAAAACTTAAGGAATCATCCCATATGCTAGGCCACAAAAAACTCCTGAGCCGACCAAGCATAGAAATGAATACAATATGGGAACCAGTAATACAGAGTGCTAGAGAAAAGCAATAATAAAAAAATTACAATATGAGCTTTGGTAAGAAATAATTTCCTTACGAAATTAACAATTAAGTTTAAATTTTATGAGTTACATTTTCTCATAAAGTACTGTGCGAATTAATTGGGGCAGTGACTCCAATAAAATAGAGAAATGACATATTATCAAATTATGTTTATTTTCTCCAAAAAGCTTTACATAACTGTTCAAAAATCCTACAAATCATTAAGTTTTATGTCCGCTACTACGTTTAATGGGCTTTTGAACAGGTTTTGGCATGTATTCGGCCAATTTCAGACATATTTTGCCCAATTCTTCATTGTGATACCATAGCTGAATGTCCGCACAGATTTGCTTTTCTCTGATGGTACAGTCGTGTTTTATCAGTCGTTGTTTCACAATAGTCGATAACTTTTCAATGGGGTTCAAGTCTGGGGAATTTCCTAGACAGTCTAATACTTTTACAGCCTCAGGCAAGCGGTATTATCTTGCTGAAACACACCATATCCATCTGGGTAAAGTTCTTCCATTGTTGGGACTTTCAAAAGATCTTCATATTTTGTGCTCAATATGTCTATCTCTTGTGGGTTCACCTTTGCTTCTCCGTACAAAGCGGGATCGACGACCTCTCACTTCAAAGTGCGTTTCATCTGAGAACAACAGTTTTTACCAATCTTCTACCGTCCAATCATTATGAGATTTTGCCCATTGGAATCGTTTATCCTTTACTCTTCCTGTCAAAAGCTGCTTTTTATGTGGTTTTCTGGCTGGTCGCTCCATTTCAAGTAGCTATCTCTTGACAGTTGAGTCAGATATGGACAGACCGGATTCCACTAAATCTGCTGTCAGGTCCCTTATACTCTTCCTCGGAGTTTTAATACAGTTTTCTGAGGTGCTTCGTCTCTTGATCGTTTTTCTTTTTCTTCTACAACTTCCCTTTCTCAAAACCTTATTATGATCCAATAGAGCCTGCCTTTTCACAATGAGTCCAACAATGGACTTGCTTATCTTGAGGCTTTGGCCTATTTGTCGCACAGATTTGTTTGAATTTTCATGGAGCGCAATAACCTGTGTGACACCATTTACCAAGGCAAAAAAAGAAAAGAAAGGAAAGAGAGGAAGGAAAGAAAGGAAAAGAGAGGCGAGACCCAAACGTGGATGATAAGTAGGACACCCACGACTAAGAGACAATGGATAAAGGATATTTTGATAAGTAACAAATGGCGAAGAGTGTCATTACAATGGCAGGGAAATTCTGAGTGGATGGGAGAATCGTTGTGTTTTGGCGACGAGCTGTGTTATCGGGGATACATAAACAAACCGCTAATGCGGGAAAACATCTGATTAAGCAAACCACAGACCGACTAGCCAAAGAAAAATCCAATTGAAAATGTTATTTTGATAATTGACAAAAAAACAGGTGAACAGGCTTTGGATAGATATGAAAAATGAATTGTGTCAAAGTCGCACACGAGGTGGCGACTGACCGTTTTTCTTTTGACAAGACATCTTTAGCTGCGATAATAAAACTATGTTATCAGAAATGTGCACCAATGAATGACTGGAACCATGGAAATGTTTTTTTTTTCGAGACGATTGTGTTGTGTCAAATAGACCACCCATTCTGATAATTAGCGATAATCTGACTGACGACGTCCAGGTGAGAACAAGAGTTATGACCACCACCGATCGCATTGTTCTATTTGCGGCCAGAGAAAATGAGAACTACGATTAAAAGAAAGAAAAGGAAAAGAAAAAGATAATTTTTTTTTAAGCAAGATATTTTTTTTTCCTGAAACAAAGCCCGCGGGATCGCACACGCCCGGCTGGATATCATTGGCCGAGTGGTGATCACGTGACGCAAGGACGAAGCTGTCGCCGCCCACCTAGAGGATGGGTATGAGAGGTTGCTACGAAGAAGTGGGGAGGGCAGTTCACGCCCCTCTGAAGTATTGTGAGAAGGTGGGAGTAAGAGAAGGCTCCCAAAAATGGAAATAAGTGGAAAATTCCTAACCAAAAATAAGAGAAGTGGATATGTATTTAGAATTATCGAGGAACCCCTGGCGCCGACAAACCCACCCCGGTTTTGCTCGGCGTCCATATAAGCAAGGTCGCAGCGAGCGAAAATGAGTTCCAGCAGAGAGTTCCAGAGTTGAGTCCGGGAGAGACAGTTCCCAGAGTCAGTCTCCAGTGCTCAGTTGAAGCAAGCCTCGCATCGGCTGACCAAGATTCGCGCAATTTCCGGATTCATCTTCAATCCAAGAACAATTATTTTGAAGAGCGACTTAGATCCAGACCACCAAAATAAGTTTTTTCGACTTTCGCCCGAAGACACACAAAAAAAAAAAAAACAATTTCTTAAAGAGCAAACAACTTGAAGTGTTAAAACTCGCCTAACGGAAAACAACGTGTCACAATCCATAGAACGGGTCGGGAGATAGACGCAGTCCTATGTATCCAACAACTAGACATAAAGTTTGTTATCCTTTTCTTTGATACCTTGAACTTTTGAGTTATCATTTTATTTCTTTTATACGTATTTGTGCGTTACCACCCCCGCTTGGACCCAACTTGCATTGTGGCCCCAA